TGAGAATTTGTATCTTTTATCAGGTCAAGTTTGTGTGCTCCTGTGAGATTGTCATTTTGGTCATGTTATCAGGCAGAATGGATATTATTTGTGCCCTAACCTATGTTATGTGCTACTCTTTTATGCTGTGCTAGACGGTGAGGTTGTATGATTGTTCCCCACACATGTTGTAATTTTGTTCAGGCCTTATAGCGATGCGGGCGAGATAGCCCTCGTGATGTTGACCTGCTCATTGCACCTTAGTTGTGCTTGCTTCTTTCATGTTTTATTACTTCTATTCATTTTTCCCACAATTTTATTTATGCACTCTGTTGTACTTGATAGCAGTATTCATAGGATCAGCGAACCCGAGCATTTTGGCTTGATGAGTATTTGGGAGAGGGCTGCGCGCCGTAGTGGATGTTATGTGGGATACCCTTTCATTGTGTTTATTTGGTATTGTGTTTTCCCTCTGTGGGACGATTTAATGAAAATCATACTTTTGTTGTTACACATGTTGTACTTGTTAGATAATTCTTATACTTTGTTTTCCTTTATTGTGCTGCATAATTGAGTTATTGCTGGTTGGGTGTACGGACTGTGTAGTGTAAGAATCTGTGTGGTTCCGTGATGAGTTGTTAGTTTGGCTGTTTGTATTGGCTGAGATGAGGTTCCTAGACCTGAGATTAGTACTATGGTATTGTGGTGAGGAGTGTTTGGAAGTATGTGGTTGGTTCTGTTAAGAGTTGGGTAATGTCCCTTGGCGGGAAAGAGAGCTTCTTCACTTGTTGACTTCATGAGCGGCTATGTATATCCGCATGTTTCTTTATCATGGGCAGTGTTGTGGAAGTTCAGAATAAGGTTGTGTTCAATGCGAAATGTGTTGCCGGCATCCAGAATGTTATTTGAGCGGGTATGGTGGTCAGAGGTATTTGTTTCGGGCATTTGAGTTATGTGGAACATCATATGATTGTATTCTGGATTGGAATTTTGACTCGATTCAGCTCGTTCAGGTTCATGTAGTGTGATGATGTGGAATTCAGGTCCTATGGTGAATTTCAAATGTTGAAGTTTGGGTCCTGTCCTAAGGTTATGGACTAAGGATGGGGTGAGACCTACAGTTATGTTGAATGGTCAGTCTTACATAGGTTTGAGTGATGGGGAAATCGCCCCGGGTTTTTGTATGGTCAGCTCGTGCAGTGGTTCGATGGCTTTGGAACGACTTCGGGCACGTTCGAGGACGAACGTAGGATGTAACGACCCGGCTGGTCGTTTTGAGCAATTGCATCTGGTTCGGCAATTTGAGGTCACAATCAACTTCATATTATATGTATCGAATTGCGTGAATGGTTGGATTCTGTTTTCGGATGAATCAGAGTCGAATTGGAAGAAGGAATCTAGTTTTGGAAACTTAAGCGGTGAGAGTTTGACCGGAATTTAACTTTTGAGTAAATGACTTCGGAATGAGTTTTGGATGATGTCAGTAGCTTCGTATGGTGATTTTGGACTTAGGCGGGCGTTCGGATTTGGATTTGGAGGCCCGTAGGATAATTGGAGGCATTTCGGCAAAAGTTGAAAAAGTTGAAGTTTGGAAAATATAGAGGTTTTACCCATAGTTGACTTTTATGTTATGGAGGTCAGAATGCAATTCCGAAAGTTGAAACATCTCGTTTATGTCATTTGGGACTTGCCTGCAAAATTTGGTGTCGTTTGGAGTTAATTTGATATGGGTCGGATGTTTGGTTGCAATTTTAGAAGTTCTTGAAGTTCATAGTGATTTTCATGCGTTTTGGCATCCGATTCGTGGTTCTAGAGGTTATTGTGGTGTTCCGATTGCGCAAGTGAGTTTGTGTTATGTATTCAGACTTGTGTGGGTATTTGGTTTGGAGCCCCGAGGGCTCGGATGAGTTTCAAATGCGTTTCAGAGTGTTTGGTAGAAATTTCTGAGTTGCTGCTGTCTGATCTCGCATTTGCGAGTAGTGTATCGCATTTGCGAAATGGATGGAATGGCAGGCTTTGCATTTGCGAAGCCAGTCTCGCAAATGCGAGGAACGGTCTGGGCAGGGGAGGTTCGCATTTGCGAAGTTTTGGGCCGCTTTTGCGAGGGCCCTTCACAATTGCGAGAAATTCCATCGCAATTGCGATGCTGTCAGGGAAAATTCAGGCTTCGCATTTGTGAAGTTTTCTTTGCTTTTGCGAGTTCGCTTTTGCGAACCCATTGTCGCAAATGCGACATCTGCAGCCTGCTAAAAGCTGGGTATTCCGAGTTTTTGCTCATTTTTCATATTTTTTGAACCCTAGGTCCGAGAGTAGGCGATTTTGAGAGAAGATTTTCATACCAAATCATTGGGTAAGTGCCTCTAATCTTTTTCCATCTATATTTTGCGATTATATCTTAGATTTAACATCAAATTCATGAGAATGTAAAGGAAAAATTGGGGAAAATTATGAAATCTTTCAAAATATAAAATGATGATTTGAAGGACCAAATGGTATCGAAATTGGATAATTTTTGTATGGGTGAACTCGTATCGGAATGGGTATTTGGTTTTTGTAAATTTTGTCGGGTTCCGAGGTGCGGGCCTGGGGAGTTGACTTTTGTTGACTTTTTTCAAATTGTGAGAATCATAGTTTTGTTAATTGAAATTGTTTTTTCTTACATTGTTTGATGTATTCAAGTAGTTTTTGGCTATATTGAGCCGAGCATTGATGAATTGGTAAATATAAATCTAAATTAAGTATTGAATTGGTCGGATTGAGGTAAGTATCTTGTCTAACCTTGTGTGGGGGACTTCCCCTTAGGATTTGAGTCCTCTATGCTAATTGTGGTCTGTGCACGCGAGGTGACGAGTGTGTGCTCGGACTTGTTTGTGGAAAATTTGCCTTTAGGGTTCTTAGGCCTTTATGTTCATTAAGTGGGAAGTATTTCGATATGATTGGGTTTCTTAATTGCTTGATTTACCTCTATATGCTCCGTACGATGTTATTAGCTCTCTTATAACTCTTACTTGTTACTTGGTCCTTATTTGCCTTAATTGAAGTGAATGTCCTCCTTATTGTTTTGTTATTTCTAAATTGTGGATTCCTCTATGACCTCGTACATATATGCTATGTGTCCAAATTGTTGTAATTTCCGATGTAGTTATCATGTGCCATATATGTCTTGTTGTTTTGTAAAGGTTGTTGTGCTTCTTGGTTTTTCGTTATTTTCTTGTTGCCATGTATTCATATTCTTGGTGGTAGATATCCTTTTTAATTGAGTTGTTGAATTGTTGTTGTGGTTGGTTTTAAACTATGTTTGGTTGTTGATGTTGAGGAGGGATAAGGGAGAATTGATATTGTCTAGTAGTGTCGGGTTGCATGCCGCAACAAGGAGTAATAAGGGTAGACAGGTGGGATCGGGTTGCGCGCCGCAATATGAGGAATAAGGGTGATATATATTGATGAGGAATAAGGGAGGATAAGTGGGATTGGGTTGCACACCGCAATAATATATGCTATTTACTCTTAATGTAATTGCTAAGGAGGAATAAGGGAGGATTGGTGGGATCAGGATGCATTCCGTATCAATGTATATTTATGTTTATGTATTCCTCTTCGACTGTTCAAGTTATTTGATGGTTTTACATTTAGGATTTGGTTATAGCTGAATATTGAGAGGATCCGAGTTCATTTATTTAAGACTTGACAATTTGTATTTCGGGTTTCACTGAGTCGTGAAGATCGAGTGATTGGCCTTGAGTTATTGACTTGTCATTGTTCCTGGAATTTTATTCTGAAGCTATTACTTTGGTGAATTAATTTTCAAGTAAATTTACTACGTTGAAATATTCTTCTCCTGTCCTGTTAAGTTATTGGCAATATTGCGATTAAAAATAAAGGAATCTAAACTACGTTGTTGTGTATGACTTTTAAATGTGAACTCGCCGTATTTATATATGTATTTCAATACTTTAAATTTCAATAATTGTTATATCTTTAATTCAATTAGCTCTTCAATTAAATTTCCTTAAACCGTCTGAGGTTGTATTTTATTTAAAAATAAATTTCTACTAAGTTTTAAGTTATTAAGTCCTATGTTTAAGATAATAATTCATTCGATGTTGTACTTTAATTGAAAAGGGTATTTTCGTGATTCAAAGGATTTCCTAAAGTAACTTCATTTCTCTTACTGATTTCCTAATTGGTTTAGAACCTCTACTCTACTTTATGTTATGTAAATGACACTCCTTGAACATCTTATCTGAAATGGTTATGGACCCTAAATACTGAGTAACATGAGGAAGTTGTTGTCAAGTGAGGTAGTAATATGTGGTCACAATGTGCCGGGTGTGCTAAAGGTTTTGGAAATTGTGATTTATGATATGAGCCATCGAGTTATGAGATGGCCGGAATTGTACACCAGAAATGATATGATTGATTGAGCTGATGTTATTTTATTTATTTTTTAAATCTTAACTTTTTATTTTTTATAATTAACTTTATATTTAAAATTTTGTTTAACCGTGTAATTACACTTATGCCACCAAATAGTACATTTGTAATTAAACTGTAATTACATTATGGTAAACAAACATGTCATCGTAATTACAATATTATATAATTACTAGACTGTGTAATTAGTACTATAGTAATTACGCCATTTCAATTTCAAGTACCTGATGACTTTCCAAACAGACAATAAGTGTTACTCCCTTCGGTTCATAATAAGTGACCAATTTGCTTTTTTATTTTGGTTCAAAATAAGTGTCAAGTTATGTAATCAAGAAAGAATTCAATTTGTTTTTACAAAATAACCCCTATGTACATGTCCCTAAAAAAATTTCTTACTTCTCACATTAAATGCTTAATTAGGGGCAGTTTAGTTATAATAGATATTTTTGTATAGAATTTAATATTTTCTTAATGGACACTAAAAACAAATTTGGCGAACTACTACTTTTTTTTAGTGCTCTACTAAACGCCAACCAAATTAACTGCATGCTTAAATTAACAAAAGCTTTTTACTTATACCCACGGCGTTCTTTCGTCCTCTTCGCCCATTTCCATGCTTCTTCCATCCGAGTCCCTAAGTCAACTGTTCTCAGCCTTCTATAAATACGCTTCTTTTCCTCTCTTATCCCAATCAAACTGCATTTTCTTCATTCCCTCTCTCTCTCTCTCTCTCCCAGCGTCTGTCTTTCTTTCAACGTTCGAAAGGTACATAACTCTTTTTTTGTTTAACACAACAACATAGTGATAGCGTAAAGAAACTTCCATCTTAACTTAAATTACAGCTTCCTGAGTTCTTCTGTAAGGCAGGATAAACAATGACTGGGTTTTTCTCTTCATCCAAACCTGCACATTCTTCTCACAACTCTTCCTCTCCATCCCCACCTCACACCTTCTCTGAAACTCTAATGGAGGATTCATTAAAGAACGCTGAGGCCATTATTAAAAGATGGGATCTTGATAATGGCTCATCTAACAGCTCTTACTGCACAATATCAAATCTCTTTCGCGATAATCGAGCAGAGGCTAAGCAGTTTGTGGATGCTGTAATCGACTTACAGCATGCTATGCGATTTGTTATCAAGGAAAGTTCCAGCTCCCAACAGCTTGTTCGAGCTCAAAAACTCATGCAAATAGCCATTAAGAGACTTGAGAAGGAGTTCCGCACCATTTTGGCAGGAAATCGCTACTTCTTAGACTCTGAAAGTACTGCCTCAAGAGAGTATTCCAACCGGTCCAGTACTGGTTCAGATGAAGATCAAGCTTCTGAAGATGATAATACTGTTGACATTCAAGCTCGTTTTTCCGAGGTTTCAATTACTGAAGAAGGTGAAAAGATTTCTGTAACAGCGGATCTGAGAGCAATTGCTGATTGTATGATTGATGCTGGGTACGGAAAAGAGTGCGCCCAGATTTACCAACTTAATCGAAAATCAGTCATCGATGAGACATTGTATTGTCTGGGAATTGAAAGTTTTAATATTTCAGTTATTCAGAAAATGGATTGGGATGTTCTTGAGAAGAAAATAAAAAGTTGGTTGAGTGCTGTTAAGGTTGCTGTTTGTACTCTCCTTTATGGCGAGAGGATTCTCTGTGACCAAGTCTTCGCCGTCTCCGACAACATCAGAGAGTCTTGTTTCTCGGAGATTGCTAAAGACAGTGCTCTGGCGCTGTTCACTTTCCCGGAGATGGTGGCCAAGTACAAGAAATTGTCTATTGAGAAAATGTTCCGTATTCTCGACCTCTATGACGTTATTTCTGAACTCTGGAGTGAAATCGAATTGATTTTCGGCTTTGACTCCACGGCGGTTGTCAGATCCCAGGCGATGAGCTCAATGGAGAAGCTTCGCGAAGCTGCTCGAGCCATCTTATCGGAGTTTGAATCGGCGATTAAGAAAGATTCTTCGAAAGTGGTGTCTGGTGGCGGAATCCACCCGCTAACTCGCTACGTCATGAACTACCTTGTTTTCCTCAGTGATTACAGTGGGCCTATCTCTGAAATTGTCGCCGATGTGCCGGTATCGGTGAAGTCGCCGCTGCCGGAGTCTTACCTATTGAGTCCAATCGCCGACGATGAGAACTCTCCTGCTTGCGCCGTTTCCGTACGGCTTGCTTGGCTTATCCTCGTTCTCCTCTGCAAACTCGACGGCAAAGCAGGGTTCTACGGTGACGTGCCTTTATCCTATTTGTTCTTAGCAAACAACTTAAACTACGTCGTTTCGAAGGTCCGAGAATCCAGCCTGAAGCTCCTATTAGGATCCATTTGGCTCTCGAACCACGAAGCAAAGGTAGAACAGTACATGGAAAATTACAAGAGAATGGGCTGGAGCAAGGTGCTGGCGTCACTGCCGGAGAATTTAACGGTCGAGATTTCTCCGGCAGAAGTGAACCAGTGCTTCTGTAAATTCAATTCAGGTTTCGAAGAGGCGTACCGAAAACAGAATTCATGGGTCATACCCGACCCGAAACTTCGTGACGAAGTCAAAATATCACTGGCGAAGAAGATTGTTACAGCTTATCGAGCATTTTACGAGAAGAACTGGGAAACTGTTTCAAGGAGTGGGAGCGGAGGCGAAGTGGAGTCAATTGTCAGATTTGTCCCTGATGATTTGCAAAATTACTTATCCGATTTATTTTATGGAACTGGTTTTTCAGAAAATAGCAGTACGTCGCACGGGTCATCTTCGCGGTCAACTTCAACGTTCTCATCTCCATTACGTTGATAAATCCTACTCTTGCTAAGGCATTTAAAGTGAGGTTGATGTTATTGAGTGCAGACTAAGCATTTCTTGTAAATGAAAAAAGATTGTAGATAATAGATTATACATACTCCATAGTTTGAAAGCAATGATAATTATGCTTGTTTCCACCAAATGAGTATTATAAATGTTCTTTTAGTTATATGATCAATTTCACAAGAAATTTTTATGTCCAGACGTTTGAAATCGAATACTAAATATTATAAGATATTTGTAAAACTATTCTTCTATTCAAATTATAATTATATATTTGTGTCATTTCCTTTATCGAACTGTACTATGAGATGTTCAAGATTTTTCAACCCTTAATTAGAGATCTCATATTCAAACGACTAAACTATCAAATTTTCCACAGGAAGTAGTTTACCCCTCAATGGGCTTACTCGATGTGGTATAGATTAGTCTAAGTAGTAAATTTTGCATACCGGCTGAATTAATTCATCAATAATTAATTCTCCAATAATTAATTTATTGAGCTTGGTCCTGTATTCATCTTTTTCATTCTCGTCGCCTCTTTAGCGGCCTCACATGATGACGAAATTCAAACTAAAAACATTACCGTTAAATTTATGCATTGAGTTCCGTTGAACACGTTACTTTGTCTACTGCAGTTTGATTTGGATGTACTCTGGTGGTTTATTGTTTTGTTTACTGTAGTGTGATATTTGAATGTTATCTGGTGGTTATAACTTTGTCTGCTATAGTTTAATTTGGATTGCCGTCCAAAATTGAAAATGTTTGGTTTGGTTCTTTACGACAAGATCCATATATCGGTTTGGCTGATTTTGGCTGTTGTACTTGTACGTACAGGTACATTGCCTCCAGCCATCCAAAATCAACAGCACTAATAAGAAAGTAAAGCATTATTCACATTTGGCTTTGAAAGGTCTTGGTAAAAGTGGACCTTATAATTGCACGCAGGTCAATTAACACTACGATCCTAGCAGTTTCAGTTGTCAATCAACAATTGATAACAACTTTCTTTCACCAAAAATGTGTGTTATTCTATAGGGATTAAAGTGCATTACAAGAGTTTGAAAGAATTGGATTTTCTCGTTTACGATCTACTTATGTAACGACCTGGTCGGTCGTTTTGAGAGTTAGAGCCCCGGTTCCCTATTAATTGCTTTCCCTATATCTATTTCTGCTATTATTGAATTTAGCGTTGTTTGATGTAATTTGAGGGCTCGACTAAGTTCGTATGATATTTTAGGATTGGTTGGTATGTTTGTTTGAGGTCCCGGGGGCCTCGGGTGTGTTTCGGATGCTCAACGGGTCATTTTAGGACTTAGAAGGATAACAGATTTTTGCTGGTTTTTGTTGCAAAGAGTTGTTCTTCGCGTTCACGAAGAGAAGCCCGCGTTCGCGAAGAAGAGTTGGGGCAGAAAAAGAAATTGCTCTTCGCGTTCACGAATAAGGGGATGCATTCGCGAAGGTTTGGACTCCAGTGTATCGCGAACCCGTGAATAGGAACTCAGGAATTTGCTCTTCGCGTTTGCGAATAAGGGGTCGCGTTCGCGGAGGTCCTGGCAGCTGAAGCTACGCGTTCGCGAGAGGGATCTCACGTTCGCGAAAGAGGAAAAATTGAGCAGTGGATTTTTGTTCTACGCGAACGCGAGGTGGTGGTCGCGTTCGCGAAGAAGGGCGTACCTGGGCAGATTTAAGGTTCAAAAAACGAGGGGTTGAGTTCATAACACAAAAATTTGATTGAGAGCTCGGTAAAAGGTGAAATTTGGAGAGATTTTTGGAGGAAGTTTGTGGGTAATGATTCCTAACTCCTTTATGATTATATCCCACTAATCTATGCTTGATTTAATCATTAGATTCGGATTTAGGGTGGAAATTTGGGGAAAAATTGAGAAAACTTCTTAGGCCGAATTTTGCGGTTTTGATCGAGATTTTGGTATCGAATTTAAGTAAATTTGTTATGGTTAGACTTGTGAGTGAATGAGTGTTCATAATTTGTGACTTTTACCCGATTCCGAGACGAGGGTTCGGGGAGGCTTTTTGGGCGGTTTCCTATTTTCTTGCCTTAGCTTTGATTTCATTAGCTAAATTAGTTGCTTGTAGCTATATTTACGTTATGTAATTGATTTGGCAAGATTTGGGCCATCCAGAGCCGGATATTTGTGGAAAGAGCATTGTTTCGAATTGATTTAGGCTTGGTTCGAGGTAAGTGTCTTGCCTAACCTTGTGTGGGGGAACTTCCTTTAGGATGTGGTATTGTTTGATATATGAGCTTTGTGTACATGAGGTGACGAGTATGTACACATGCCATTTGTGGAAAAACCCGTTTTTACTTAGTCATAACCTGATTTCTCCTTGTTTGAACTACACTAGCATATGTACTATCCTGTTTAGATTAGAAAAGCATGCATACATGTTTTTAAATATCTATTTGAATTATGTGCAACATGTTTAATAAAATTACCTGTTTTTTCCTTTGATTTGAATTTAGTCTAAACTGTAGGTTTTCGTGCTGTAACTGTTGTTTATATTGATTGAGCTAGATATTTATTTTGGGACTACGGAACGGTATTCCGGGAGATACACCTGTACTACATATTTACTTTGGGGCTATGGAATGGTATTCCGGGAGATCCCCCAACACTGCATATTTACTTTGGAACTATGGAACAGTATTCCGGGAGATCTCCCTGCACATTTATATTTGGAACTACGGGACGATATTCCGGGAGATTCCCTATTGTTACCCTTGTGTTTCTGAGTTGTTGTTCTTCTATGCTTATTTCCTGGTTAAATTTCAACATTTATTTTACTGCGATATTTCTTTCTGTTAAATTTTATTATAGTTATACCAGTAGGGCCTTGACCTGATCTTGTCACTACTCGACCGAGGTTAGGCTCAACACTTATTGGGTACCGTTGTGGCGTACTCATGCCCTTTCCTGCACATATTTTCCGTGCAGATCTAGGTACTAGCTATCAGCCTCGAGTCTAGTCGTGTAGTTGCTACTTCAGAAGACTTCAAGGTACATCTGCCGCATCCGCAAATTTTGGAGTCCCCTTCTATCCCCTTGTGTTGATTTTCCCTTTGTTTTCTTCATACATAAATGTATAGAGCAGTTAGAAACTCTTAGAAGCTTGTGATATTGTGACATTTCGGGTTTTGGGAAAAATGGTTATTGTATATGCCGAGCGGCATCATTTTTGCTTATTAACTATATCCGTTAGCTGTTATCCTTGTGTTTCTATTTCATTTCCGCAATATTAAGCTTACATAGTCGTAGAGACTAGGTGCCGTCACGACAGTTCACAAAGGAAGAACTTGGGTCGTGACAAGTTGGTATTAGAGCTCTATGCTCATAGGAGTCGTGAGTCACAATCCGGTTCATTAGAGTCTCGCGGATCGGTACAGAGATGTCTGTACTTATCTTTGGGAGGCTATGGAATTATTAGGAAAATTCCACTTCATTTGATTCCTTGTTGTGCGAGATTATTTACTTTAAAATTCTAAACTTCTGTCTTCTATTCTCTCACAGATGGTGAGGACATGTGCTACCGGAGATGACTAGGCACCCGCGCCCTCTGCTAGAGACGCCCGAGGCTGGGGTCGAGGTGGACACCGAGGACGTGCACACGGTGCAGCTAGAGCACCCGCGCGAGCTGCTGGAGAGGAGCCACCAGTAGCTTTACTCGGAGCATTGGCACCTGATACACCTACTACTACTACTCCAGCTCTCTAGGAGACCCTTGCACAGTTCATGAGCATGTACAACACTCTCGCTCAGGCAGGGTTGATTCCCCTAGCTGCAGCCACATCTCAGGCCAGGGAAGAAGCACAGACTCCCGCAGCCCACACTCTAGAATAGCGGGTTTAGGTTGATCAGATCCTAGAGGTTATACCGGTACTGCCTGTATCCCTAGTTCAGCCCGAGGGTAGGGCAACAACTTTAGAGGAGGTGCAGCGGAGGCTTGAGAGGTATAAGAAGTACGACCCTCCTACATTCAGTGGTCTAGCATCAGAGGATGCTCAGGGATTTCTGGAGGAGTGCCACCTCATCATCCGTATTATGGACATAGCAAAGTTGAGTGGGGTTTCTTTCACTACTTTCAGCTTCGAGGAGCAGCCTATCAGTGGTGACATACTTATGAGTTGGACAGTTCGGCTGAGGCAACTTCTCTTACATGGACTCAGTTCTCGGACATGTTTTTGATAGAGTTGTTCCCTAGAGCCTCAAGGACGCATGTCCCATAGAGTTTGAGAAGTTGCGCCAGGGTACTATGACTGTTTCAGAGTATGCCGTTCGTTTCGAGAGAGGGTTCGCTGGTTTATTGAGGGGCTCATTCCCAGCATCAGGACTAGCATGGCCCGGGAGTTGGAGATGGATATCGCGTATCAGCAGGTAGTGAGTATTGCTAGGGGAATAGAGGGCATGCTTGCTCGGGATAGGGAGGAGAGAGAGAGAGGCCAAGAGGTCTCAAGAGTCGGGCCATTATTCTGGTGCATATGCCCCAACTGTAGTTCGTCATGGTAGGGGTTATGTGAGCCGCCCCGTTCATTTAACTCTTCCAGTAGCCAATGGTATTCCAGCTGCTCCTAGACCTCATGAGCCTTATTATGCACCTCTAGTATCTAGTGTGCCTCCTGCACGAGGCTCCATCAGCGGTTAGTCCAGCAGACCTGGCCCGAGCCAATCACAATCGCCATGTCCTCCAGAGATTGTTTTGAGTGTGGGGACACTTGCTATATGGTGAGGGATTGCCCCAAACTTAGGAGGGGTGTACCTCCACATACTTCTCAGCCACACCGTGATCCACCAGGTCCTCAGGCTATGATTACATCACCAGCTGCCATCCCCCCCTACTCAGCCAGCCCGAGGTGGAGGTCGAGGTGGTAGGAGTCGCCCTAGAAGGGGAGGCCAGGCTAGTTACTATGCCTTTCCTACTCGTACAGAGTCTGTTGCTTCCGATTCTATCATTACAGGTATTTTTCCAACCTTTCATAGAGATGCATCGGTTCTATTCGATCCACGCTCTATTTATTCTTATGTGTCATCTTATTTTGCACTGCATTTGGGCGTATCTCAGGATTCTTTGAGTTCCCCTATTTATGTGTCTACTCCCGTGGGAGATTCTCTTATTGTGGACCGCGTGTATCAGTCGTGTTTGATTACTCTTAGTGGTTTTGAGACCAGAGCCGATTTATTATTGCTCAGCATGGTAGATTTTGATGTTATCTTGGGCATGAATTGGTTGTCACCCCATTATACTATTCTTGATTGTCACGCCAAGACCGTGATGCTGGCTATGCCAGGTTTACCGCGATTAGAGTGGAGGAATACCTTAGATTACACTCCCAACAGGGTTATATCAATTCTTAAAGCATAGCGAATAGTTGAGAAGGGGTGTGATGCGTATCTAGCTTATGTGAGAGATATCAGTATTGATACCCCTACAGTTGATTCAGTCCAGTAGTGAGGAATTTCCTTGATGTGTTTCCAGCTGATCTTCAGGGCATGCCGCCCGATAGAGATATTCAGCCTAGTGTATCATTTTGGAGTGATCCTGTCTTGTTTGTGAAGAAAAAGGATGGTTCTATGCATATGTGTATTGATTATCTCCAGTTGAACAAAGTTACAGTGAAGAACCAGTATCATTTACCTCGTATTGATGACCTATTTGATCAGTTACAAGGTGCCCGAGTGTTTTCCAAGATTGACTTGCGTTCAGGTTATCATCAGTTGAGGATTCGGGAGCCAGACATCCCGAAGACTGCTTTCAGGAATCAGTATGGTCATTACAAGTTCCTTGTTTTGTCATTTGGGTTGGCAAACGCCCTAGTAGCATTTATGCATTTGATACATAGTGTATTCCGGCCTTATCTTGACTCGTTCATCATCGTCTTTATTGATGACATTCTGGTGTACCCCTGGAGTCGAGAAGATCATGAGCAACACCTAGGTACAGTGCTTTAGACCTTGAGAGAAAAGCAATTATACGCAAATTTCTCAAAATGTGAGTTCTGGTTAAATTATGCGACTCTTGGGTCATGTGGTATCGAGTGAAGGGATCAAAGTGGATCCGAAGAAAGTGGAAGCAGTGCAGAGTTGGCCCAGACCATCCTTAGCTACGGAGATCCGGAGTTTCCTTGGTTTGGCGGGGTATTATCGTCGATTTGTTGAGGGATTTTCATCTATTGCAACACCCATGACCAGGCTGACCCAGAAGGGTGCTCTGTTCAGGTGGACAGAAGAGTGTGAGAAGAGCTTTCAGAAGCTCAAGACAGCTTTAACTACAGCCCCAGTATTGGTACTGCCTTCAGGTTCGGGGTCATATATAGTTTATTATGATGTGTCGTGAGTTGGCCTCGGTGCGATATTGATGCGGGACCGTAGGGTGATTTCCTACGCGTCCAGACAGTTGAAGGTACATGAAAAGAACTATCATATCACGACCTTGAGTTAGCTGCTATTGTTCATCCCTTAAAGATTTGGAGGCACTATTTGTACGGTGTCCCTTGTGAGATCTACACTGATCATAAGAGTTTGCAGCATCTGTTCAAGTATAAGGATCTTAATTTGCATCAAAAAAGGTGATTAGAGCTACTTAAGGATTATGATATTACCATTTTGTACCACCCAAGGAAGGCCAATGTGGTGGCCGATGCTTTGAGTCACTAGGCAGAGAGTTTGGGGAGTTTAGCTTATCTACCAGCAGCAAAGAGGCCCATGGCGTTGGATGTTCAGGCCTTAGCCAGCTAGTTTGTGAGATTGGATATTTCTGAGCCTAGTCGAGTATTGGCTTGTGCGGTCTCTCGGTCTTCTCTTTATGATTGTATTAGGGAGCATCAGTATGATGACTCCCATCTGCTTGTCCTTAGGGACACATTCCAGTACGGTGATGCCAAGGAGGTCACTATTGGGGATGACAGTGCTTTGAGGATGCAGTGTAGGCTATGTGTGCCTAATGTAGATAGGTTGCATGAGTTGATTCTTCAGGAGGCTCATAGCTCGCGGTACTCTATTCATCCGGGTTACATGGAGATATATCAGGACTTGAGGCGGCATTATTGGTGGCATAGAATGAAGAAGGATATAGTGGAGTATGTTGCTCGGTGTCTAAATTGCCATTAGGTGAAATATGAGCATCAGCGACCGGGTGGCTTGCTTCATAAGTTGGAGATTCCGGAGTGGAAGTGGGAGCGGATCACTATAGATTTCGTTGTTGGACTCTTACGGACTCAGCAAAAGTTTGATGCAGTTTGGGTGATTGTTGATAGACTGACCAAGTCAGTTCATTTCCTTCCTATGATGACTACCTATTCTTCCGAGCAGTTGGCTCAAGTTTATATCCATAAGATTGTCAGGCTTCATAGCGTGCCGGTATCTATCATCTCTGACCGGGGCGCACAGTTTATATCGCAGTTTTGGAGAGCCGTACAGCAGGAATTAGGTACTCAAGTGGAGTTGAGCACAACATTTCACCCTTAGACGGATGGGCAGTCCGAGCTCACTATTTAGATTCTTGAGGATATCCTCCGTGCGTGTGTGATGGAGTTTGGAGATTTTTGGGATCAGTTCTTTCCACTTGCGGAGTTTGCCTACAACAACAGTTATCAGTCCAACATTCAGATGGCACCGTATGAGGCTCTATATGGTAGGTGGTGTCGATCCCCAGTGGGTTGGTTCGAGCTGGGTGAGGCCAGATTATTGGGTACGGACTTGGTTCAGGATGCCTTGGAGAAGGTTAAGGTAATTCAGGATAGACTTTGCACAGCCCAGTCCAAATAGAAGAGTTATGAGGACCAAAAGGTTCGCGATGTGGCATTCATGGTTGGAGAGGGGGTCTTGCTACGGGTTTCGCCTATGAAAGGCGTTATGAGGTTCGGAAAGAATGGCAAGCTGAGCCCATAGGTCCTTTTGAAGTGTTGCGGCGTGTTGGGGAGGTCGCTTATGAGCTTGTCTTATCTCCCAGCCTAGCAGGAGTCCATCCGGTATTTCATGTTTCGATGCTCCGGAAGTATCACGACGATCCATCTCACGTGTTGGATTTCAGTTCAGTCCAGTTGGACATGGATTTATCCTATGTTTAGGAGCCAGTGGCTATTATGGACATGAAGGTTCGAAAGCTGAGATCAAAGAACATTGCATTAGTGAAGGTTCTGTGGCGGGGGCAGCCGGTCGAGGAGGCGACTTGGGAGACCGAGCAGGATATGCGCAACCGTTATCCTCATCTTTTCACCACTTCAAGTATGTCTCTATGGTCGTTCGAGGACGAATGATTGTTTTAAGAGGGGGAAGATGTAACGACCCGGCCGGTCGTTTTGAGAGTTAGAGTCCCGATCCCCCATTAATTACTTTCCCCGTATCTATTTCTGCTCTTGTGACTTGCCGGGAAGATTCGTTTTGAGTTTTGGAGTGTTTAGGGACACTTAGTCCCTAAATGAGAGCTTAAATCTTAGATTATGGATTGTAGTCAGAACTGTGTGAAGACGGTTCTGGAATGGAATTCTGTCGATTCCGTTAGCTCCATTGGGTGATTTTTGTCTTAGGGGCGTGTCCATATTGTATTTTGGAGGTCGGTAGCTCATTTAGACTTGAAATGGCAAAAGTCGAATTTTTTGAGTTTCAGACCGGCAATGGAATTTTTGATATCGGGGCCTGAATCCTATTTCGGAAGTTGGAGTAGGTTCATAGTGTTGAATATGACTTGTGTGCAAAATTTGGGGTCAATCAGACGTGGTTTGGTTGATTTCGGCATCGGTTGTAGAATTTTAAAGTTTGAAGTCCTTAAAGTTATGATTGGAGGGTGATTCATGAATTTAGACTTGTTTGATATGATTTGAGGGCTCGACTAAGTTCGTATAGTATTTTAGGATTGGTTGAGGTTCCGGGGGCCTCAGGTGTGTTTCGGATGCTCAACGAGTCATTTTTGGACTTAGAAGGATAACAATTTTTTGCTAGTTTTTGTTGCAGAGATTTGTTCTTCGCATTTGCGAAGAGACGCCCGCGTTCACGAAGAAGAGTTGGGGCAGAAGATGTAAAAGAAGAATCTATGTTAATTTTTATTAATTTTGATCAAGATCATATTTTAGAATTTAAGTCCAAATATATAGATTTATTTTCAAGAAGTTCAAGAAGTCCAAGAAGCTCAAGATTGATTTCAAGAATCCAAGATTCTTCCTGCTTAAAATAGGATTTATTTTATTCCTTTTAGAATTAGGATTTTCCTTTTAGTAGGACTTTAGTTTCTTTTCCTTGTAGAATAGGGATTTTACTTTCCTTGTCTTTAGTTATTTTATTTCCTTATTAGAATAGGAATTGTAGTCATCAAAGAAGAGACCCTAGGTCTATATAAAGGGTTCTCATGCCTTTGTAGAGTAGAAATCACGTTTTTGAGGCTTGCCCTAGTTTTACAATAGAGTGTTTTTCTCTATTTTGTCTTCTTTATCCTTGTTTTTGGTTCTAAGCAAGGTGGTGATAGTCTTTATCTTGTTTTCAATTGCGTTTGGTGTTTCATTATCACGTTAATTGATTCCAAGTGGTGACTTTAGGAACTTGTTTAGTTCTAGATCTTTCAAGAACACGTTTCTTGATCAAAATTTGTTCTTTTGATATCATATAATCGGGAACTTTCATTGAACTGGTGCAGCATCAATATATACTTGTTTTGAACGAGTAAATAGTCTTTTTTATAGTTCATATCATCATCTTTCACCTGGTTTTTGAATCATCAGATTCTGAGTCCTAAAACTTGAGATACGTTGTTTCTTGAAATCGACCCACAAACCATGTTTTCGATTCAAGATCTGGATCCTGGTCGGTTGGTTCTTTGTTAACTCGAAGAATCACATCAATTTGGTATCATAGCTATAACCCACAGGTCCAAAGGTTGAGAAATCATTATGTCTAAGATTCAACCAAGAGGAAGATTCTTGGTTCAAGAAGAAGAAACAAGACAACATGAATTTCTTTTCCACACTAGATGTACCTCTCATGGAAAAGTTTGTTCATTGATCATTGATCGTGGGAGTCACACAAATATCGTTTCTGAAGAGATGGTTATTGAACATGGTTTGTCAACCAAATTTCATCCATATCCTTATAGTATCGAAGTTGAAGATGATGATGTTTTAGAGGTAACTCGCCAATGCCTAGTATCTTTTTTATTGGTAAGATGATGTAAAAGAAGAATCTATGTTAAATTTTATTAATTTTGGCCAAGATCATGTTTTAGAGCTCAAGTCCAAACATATGGATTTATTTTAGAAGCGCAAGAAGCTCAAGATTGATTTCAAGAATCCAAGATTCTTCCTACTTAAAATAAGATTTATTTTATTCCTTTTAGAATAAGGATTTTCCTTTTAGTAGGACTCTAGTTTCTTTTCCTTGTAGAATAGAGATTTTACTTTCCTTGTCTTTAGTTATTTTATTTTCTTATTAGAATATGAATTGTAGTCATCAAAGAAGAGACCCTAGGTCTATATAAAGGGTTCTCATGTCTTTGTAGAGTAGAAATCACGTTCGTATGGTGTATTAGGATTGGTTGGTATGTTTGGTTGAGGTCCGGGGGGCCTCGAGTGTGTTTCGGATGCTCAATGGATCATTTTTGGACTTAGAAGGATAGCAGTTTTTGCTAGTTTTGTTGCAGAGATTTGTTCTTCGCATTCGCGAAGAGAAGCCCGTGTTCTCGAAGAAGAGTTGGGGCAGAAGAAGAAATTTCTTTTCGCATTCGCGAAGGTTTGGAATTTAGTGTATCACGAACACGTGAATGGCATCACGTTCGCGTAGAGAAAATGGAATAGATGGGACCTCAGGAATTTGCTCTTCGCGTTCGCATATAAGGGGCCGCGTTCGCGAAGGTCCTGGTAGCTGAAGCTATGTGTTCGCGAGAGGGATCTTGCGTTCGTGAAAGAGGAAAAATTGAGTAGTGGACTTTTACTCTACATGAATGCGAGATGGTGGTAGCGTTCACGAGAAGGGCGTACCTGGGCAGATTTAAAGTTCAAATAATGAGAGTTTGAGTTCGTAACACAAAAATTTGATTGAGAGCTCGGTAGAAGGCGAAATTTGGAGAGATTTTTGAACTTTGTGGGTAATGATTCCTAACTCCTTTATGATTATATCCCACTAATCTAGCTTGATTTCATCATTTAATTTCGGATTTGGGGAGGAAAATTTGAGAAAAGTTCTTAGGCCGAATTTTGGGATTTTGATCGAGATTTTTATAACGGATTTAAGTAAATTTGGTATGGTTAGACTCATGAGTGAATGAGTATTCATAATTTGTGACTTTTACCTGGGTCCGGGGAGGCCTTTTTGGACGTTTTTCTTTTTCTTGCCTTACCTTTGATTTTATTAGCTAAATTAGTTGCTTGTAGCTATATTTACGTTATGCAATTGATTTGGCTAGATTTAGGCCATCCGGAGCCGGATATTCATGGAAAGAGCATTGTTTCAGATTGATTTGGGCTTAGTTCGAGGTAATTGGCTTGCCTAACCTTGTGTGGGGGGAACTTCCCTTAGGATTTGGTACTGTTTGATATATAAGCGCCGTGTACGTACACGTGCTATTTGTGGCAATACCCATTTTTCACTTAGTCATAACCTGTTTTCTCCTTGTTTGAACTACACTAGCATATGTACTATCCTGTTTAGATTAGAAAAGCATGCCTACATATTTTTAACTGTCTATTTGAAATCTGTGCAGCATGTTTAGTGAAATTACATGCTTTTCCTTTGATTTGAACTTAGTCTAAACTGTAGGTTTTTGTGCTGTAACTGTTGTTTATATTGGTTAAGCTACATATTTACTTTGGGACTACGGAACGGTATTTCAGGAGATCCCTCTGTACTGCATATTTTCTTTGGGACTGCGGAATGGTATTCTTGGAGATCCTCCAGCACTGCATATTTAATTTGGGACTACGGAACGGTATTTCAGGAGATCCCTCTGTACTGCATATTTTCTTTGGGACTGCGGAATGGTATTCTTGGAGATCCTCCAGCACTGCATATTTAATTTGGGACTACGGAACGGTATTCCGGGAGATCCCCCTGCACATTTACGTTTGGAACTACGGGACGGTATTCCGGGAGATCCCCCTGCACATTTACGTTTGGAACTACGGGACGGTATTCCGGGAGATTCCCTATTGTTACCCTTATGTTTCTGAGTTGTTGGCCTTCTTGCTTATTTCCTGGTTAAATTTCAGCATTTATTTTACTACAATATTTCCTTCTGTTAAATTTTATTATATTTATACCAGTAAGGCCCTAACCTGATCTCGTCATTACTCGACCAAGGTTAGGCTCGACACTTACTGAATATCGTTGTGGTGTACTCATGTCCTTTCCTGCACATGTTTTCCATGTGCAGATCCAAGTACTAGCTATCAACCTCGAGTCTAGTCGCGTGGTTGCTGCTTCAGGAGACTTCAAGGTACATCTGTCGCGTCCGCAGATCTCGGAGTCCTCTTCTATCCCCTTGTGTTGATTTTTCCCTTGTTTTCTTCAGACATAAATGTATAGAATAGTTAGAAACTCTTAGAAGCTTGTGACATTGCGACATTCCGGGATTTGGGAAAGTGGTTATTGGATACCGAGCGACATCGTTTCTGCTTACTAACTATATTCGTTAGCTGTTATCCTTGTGTTTCTATTTCATTTCTGCAATATTAGGCTTGCCTAGTCATAGAGACTAGGTGCCGTCACGACAGTTCACAGAGGGAGAACTTTGGTCGTGACAACTTAGGACATCTCCGACCATTGCCTCCATTTTCTTCTTCAAAATGGAATAAAGTAGTCCAACCATTACTCCATTTTTTTACTCCCAAAAAGAATATTTTATTTTATATTCTTCACTCTCTTCAGTATTATATTATTATCTTTTATTTAAATTTTATTTTCTTATTCAACCACATATAATTTATATTCTTTTCCTATATAACTATTTAATATAAAATTATTTTTATACCACAAATTTTTAAATAATATAATTTGTAAGCAAATATTATAGATTATATATATTAACGAATAATTTAAATAAAAGTGAAATCATTGAGATACAAGATAATTAAATACATATTGGTAAAATTTAGATTAAATACTACATAAATATCCAACTTCCACCTCTAGTATGCTCCCATAAATGATATATTAATGTATTACGGAGTGCAAAACAAGCATCTTTGTCCTTGATTCTTTTGTGTCGAGCTAAAAAATTTTCAAATCGGTGATTTTCATCTACTACCATTTTAGCAACATCTAATATTTTATATTTTCACCATTCATTTTTTGAGATGATTATATATTTTTTTGTACGATTATAACTTATAATAAAATTAACTTATATTTTTACATAAAAATAATAAATGCACAAAAATTAATTTATCTATATTATACGCCAAGGTTAAGATGTAAAATTAATATTATAAGCATATTACATAAACATAATTAGATATATGTATAAATAGATAAATCGAAAGAGTTAAATAATAAAAATACTAATAAAGTAATAGGGAATAGTAATGGAGGAGATTGAATAGTGTCACTCCAAATTTGGAGTTACACTATTCATCCCCCATTTTGCAACAAAAAATACAGCACCATTGGAGCCAAATTTCTCCAAAAACTGACTGCATTATGGCAAAATGCAACAACTTTGGAGATGACCTTAAAGAGACATGTTATTGTATAGGGTAAAATACGATATGACACGTGGTCATATAAAGGAAGGACACATGGAACCCAAGACGGAGATGGTCACCAAATGCAGCTATTCCGCTTATCACAGGAAGGAATAATGATCATAAAGGTGTATTAAATATTATGCGCCTGGTAGCATTTAATAAAGAATATTCTGCAGCATTAAGGGCGACGACCCGTTACAAAAAAATTGGCATTTATGTCTACCGTTACATCTTCATCAATGACTCTCATAATTGACATTAAAGGAGGGCACGATCCTAGGACCTCCTTCCCTAGAAACAACTATAAATAAAGAGCTCAGTTATCATTGTAAATGACACGAATTTTCTGGCTAACTTATACTACATTCTATACAAAGCTTAATATAGTTTTACTTTCTCACTTTTTGATCTCATCGCTGTGCCCGGAAACCGTGTTCCCAGATTCGCCATTTCTGCCACTTCATCTACATTTTGAGGCTAAGTATTGTATATTTCTTCAGTTATTTTATTATTTCAGGACCAAATTAGTTCACTTGTCTAGAAACCACGTGTAAATTCAACTGTACCGTCTTACGGGTAAACAGTTTGGTGCCCACTGTGGGGCCTAGACAACCGTGTAACTAAATTGATCCTTGCCTTCTTTACTAACGTACTTTGATAGTATTGTCTTAGAGAAAATCACAAAAAATGGAGATAACACTGTTAAAAACACGCACAATCTTGAAATTCGAGGGGATCAACCTCATTTCGAGGATTCAATCAGTGACACCCACAACAAGGGGAATGATGACATGTTAGTGCATGACAAGCAATATCCTCGACAGTTTCGGGAAACAACTCTCGATAATGCTAATGAGGAGCATGTCGTCGATGTGGTAAGGGTCTTACAAGAGCAACATGCAATCATTCTAGGTCATCTCACGTGGCCGGATAAGGTTATGACGGAGCTGAAGCAGGCGATGTCAGGGGCTTCAAATAATGCAAAGAGGCGAGATCCAATTCCTCCCGGTTTTCCCGCAAACCAAACAACATAGAAGGTCGACAACAACCCTCATAGGGGTGAAGTTAGCTCCGACAGAGCTGGAGGGAGCAGATCTGGTCTAAATAACGAGAACGACCCGTTCAAGAATGAACTTTTATGGTTTGTGAGGGAAGTAAATGTCTGCATGGACCAAATCCCAAGCGCGCCACTAGTATTGAAAGGCTCGGACTCGAAGAAGTATACTCAATTGTCGTATAAGCCGAGCGCGACACCGGAACTAATCTCGAAGCGGTTCAAAATCCCTGAAGTGCCAAAGTACAACGGGACTTCAGACCCACAAGAGCATATTACCACCTACACAACATCGGTAAAAGGAAATGATCTAGCTCCTCACGAAATTGAATCTATGTTGCTATAGAAATTTGGAGAGACTCTCAAGAGGGGAGCCCTAACGTGGTATTCATTATTACCCGAGCATTTCATAGACTCCTTTGAGATGCTCGCGGATTCTTTCATCAAGGATCATGCCAGTGCTAGAACGGTACAAGCCCGAAAAGCCGATATATTCAGGATCGCGCATAGAGAATTCAAATTGTTATGAGGATTCGTTAACCGTTTCCAAAAGGAAGGAATGTTACTACCAGCTATCCTAGATGAATGAGCAGCTGAAGCGTTCACCAAAGTATTGAATCCGAGAAGTTCAGACGCTTTTCGAAAGCTGAAGGAAAGTCTGCTCGAGTTTTAAGCAACGACTTGGGCGGATGTACACAAACAGTACGAGTCAAAAATAAGGGTCGAAGATGATTAGATTGGCTTTCCATCGCCGACCAAAGGAGAAAAATAGAGAAAAAATAAAATATGATTACAACATGGATAGACAAACTTCAAGGGGCCGTTTTTTACCTTATGAGTAGACCGAAGGTCGTGGCAGAGGCTTCCTGACAACAGACAAGTTTGCCATTGACAGAAGGACCGATCGTGGCTGGAACAACAGATCACTACATGATAAAGAAACGTCGAGGTTGCGGGATCTTTTTTACCCCAAGTTATCGGAGTATAACTTCAACGTCAGTATAGTGGAGTTGGTATCAGCCATGAAAAACATCAAAGAGGCACGATTCCTGAGACCTGTGAGATCTGATTCCAGCCAAAGGGATCCCAACTTATGGTGTTAATACTATAGGACGAACAACCACCGAACAGGGGAATGCCGACACCTCCGGGAAGAAGTGGCAACACTGTTGAAGAATGGTCACCTTAGAGAATTCTTGAGTGATCGAGCTAAGAACAATTATGGTCGGAATAGATACGACGTAGAACCCTCGAAAGTAGGAGAATAACCCCCACGCACAAATGATCAATATGATCTTCGGAGGGAAATGAGATTAATGGGGTCACCTTTTCAATAACTTATAGTAAAAGTCTCTGGGAATGCGATATCACTTTTACGGAGGAAGATGCAGACGGATTGCTGCTACCATACAACAATGCACTGGTAATCTCTTTAAATTTATTGGATTTTAAGATTAAACGTGTTCTAGTGGATCCAGGAAGTTCAGCTAATATCATACAATGGAGAGTACTGGAGCAAGCTAAACTCACTAGAAGAATTATTCCGGCAATAAAGCTCCTCGTTGGATTCAACCTCGCTAGTGTGACAACCCGGGGAGAGATTTTGCTGCTCAGAATGCTGAAGGAGTAATCAAAACAACTCTCTTCGAAGTTGTAGACGGGGACATGGGATACAATATCATCATGGGAAGGCCATGGTTACACGAGATGAAAGTTGTGCCTTCAACGTATAACCAATTTTTGAAATTTCTGACACCTGAGGGGATCAAGAAGATAAGGGGTGATCAACTGGCAGCAAGGGATATGAATGTAATTTCGGTCTCCAGTAGAAAAGGAAAAGATCACACGACATAGCAATTACAGGAACCGGCACCTACCCCCGAACTAAAGAAAGTTATCCCCGGGACAGAGGAGTCGAAACAATATCAGGTGCAAAGGTATTTCAAGTTCCAAAAGAGAAGGACACAACGAAGTCCATGGCAGAAGAACTAGAGCAAATTGTGTTGTTCGAAGAATTCCTAGAAAGGAAATTTCATTTGGGAACGGGGCTGCACCTGGAGCTCAGGTTTGATTTTATTGAATTTCTTAAAACTAACGACAATTGTTTTGCATGGTCGCACGAGGATATGACAAGTATCCCGACGAAGGTAGCTGTGCACAAGTTAAACATGGCTCCCAACATACCTCTGGTAAGACAAAAGAAGCGCCCTATTGCTGAAGCCAGGAATAAATTCGTCAAGGAAGAGGTAACCCGCTTACTCAATATCAGTTCAATCCGAGAGATAAGATATCCAGACTGGCTAGCTAATGTAGTAGTAGTTCCTAAGAAAAATTATAAATTTTGCATGTGCATAGACTATAAGGATCTTAATAAGGCGTGCCCGAAAGACTCATTCCCATTGCCAAATATAAATCAAATAATTGATACCACGGTCGGGCACGAGTTAATGAGTTTCCTTGATGCTTATTCTGGGTACAGTCAAATCAAGATAAACCCAGAAGATCAGGAAAAGACTTTGTTTATAATGAATTTTGGTACATATTGTTACAATGTGATGCCATTCGGGTTAAAAAATGCCGGATCCACTTATTAATGGCTCATGAATAAGATGTTCGAAAAGCAAATAGCAAAGACTATGGAAGTATATATAGACGATATGCTCGTTAAGTCTTTGAATGTAGGTGACCACCTTAAACATTTGCAAGAAACATTCAACATCCTGAGAAAGCATACTACAAAGACAACAACAATAAGATCTTCAATGGCAAGGCAAACAAACAAGTCTCCACTCGGGGACGGTTAGATAATCTTTGGCTCGATAGCAAATTCCCACTGGGAAGTTAAGTTTGCTATCGGACAAAGGTTACCCGACCATTCACGAGCACAAACCACTAGGGGATTGTTAGATAGTCCTTTGCTCGATAGCATGGATTCCTAAGGGGAAGTAAGGTGTTTGCCGAGTTAAGGATTATCTAGCAATTTATTGGTGGAATCTTTGAAGGCACAAGACTTCTAGTGTTCCAATTCGCATTCTTCACATTCGAACACTAGGGGGGGAATGATATGAAGATACAACAAAACTAACTGCTACGTCGACCGGGAACGAAAATTCGGAAACATAAATGTGTCATCGGGATCGGACCCCACACAGCCAGCCCTATAGAAACAAGTTATACAAGATAGCCACAAGTAATGACAATTTATTTTTAGCATAACAAATGCTTTTATACTTTTGAAAATAGAAGGAATTAAATGAAATGAAATCCTTTTGTTTTTATCTTGTTTCTTGTCTGAACGATGAACTAACTTTGTCATTTAAAAGTTAAACAAGTACCTCAAATGCTAGTGCCGTAATGAACATGAGACGTCCTCTTCAAGAACACCGTAAACATAAGAGGACCCTCTCTTATGAAAATCCTCACGTTAAAGGGTTGGTTTAGGAAGAATTTATGCCCGGAATAAAAATGCCTTTGGGGAAAAATACACCCGAAGATGTACACGAAAGGATGCAAAAAAGTAAACTTGCACAAATACTTATAGACACCCTCATGTAAAAGGGAAAATGCTCGGAACCAAATTACTTCAAAGAGAGTGCATCCGATACTACACATAGCAAAGCGCGAAATAAAAACGTGCGCAAAATTCTTAAGCAAGTGCAAAAGTTAAAGACGTGCATGGATATTCAAACGAAAGTAAGACTCAAAGAGTAATTGAGCAAAATACATGTCTTTATTTAAAAAAAATGTGCCAACAATGGCAAAGATACAAGAATGGGAAAAAGAAAAGAAAAGTTAGACTGCAGCATGCCCAGAACTAGGAGAAAGAGAAGTGCCTGCATCCCCTAGAGAAGCAGATGGATCCACTGATGACTCAACATTTTCCCCAATTTGATCTTCAGCATCATCATCCTTCGATTCCTCATCAATTCCCAAGAACTCGTAACCAGAAGGACCAGAAACATCAGATTGCACTGGGAGTCCATTTTTAGCAGCTAACTCAAACTCACGAGCCTTAGCAATTTCGGCATCAAAATCAATGATACATGTTTTGGCCTCTTCCAAGGTTTTTCTCTTCATGCTGTACATTGCGTAAGTTTTCTCAACAACGAGAGAAGCTGCTTGGCTCTTGAGTTGTTCTTTGAGTTGAGTCACCTCGACAGAAAGACTCTCCTAGGCAGACCTAACAGATCTGAGGCTAACATCAAGGTCATGGACAGTCGAACTAAATAGCCTATTATGCTTGATAGTTTTCCTGTATTTCTTTTCCAGCTGGGCATATTTCGCCCTCGCAGCAGCAAGCTCTTCGATTTTGGAGTTTAAGGTTGCTTCTAAGTCAGTCACTTTTTCAACAGTGGCAGCCTCGCGCTCTGTTGCAGCAAGAACGACTTCATGGACTTCAGCCCACTTGGCCTTGGAATCGTCAAATCTAACCCGTAGCGGGCCAATTTATTGGTTAAGGGTTACCACCTCTTGCTCACTTTGCTGCAAACAAGTCTCCTATGTAACAACCTCTACTGCTTTGGCTTCCAATTCCGAGAGGCGAATAACACTTTGCTCCCACTCTACCAAAAGTTGGTGCCGAGTAGAAGAAATTTCTTACTTATCACGAATCAACCTCTGAAGGCCCTAGAAATCAAGAAAGTTTTCCTACAAAACAAGAAAGATAAAACTCAAAATACACAAAAGCAGAAGAAATAACAAAGGAATAAAGGAACGTACCGCTGAGACATTATGCATTGTATTGTTCAACAGACACTCTCCCAAGAGTGCCCGCACCTTTTCTCAATCGTTTAGCTTTAGATAGTTAGCAAGCTCCACCGGTCCGGAAAGCAGGTTTCACCTGGTATAGACCGAATGAGTAACATTCCTCCACCTTTGTGGATCTTCAGAAGGGGTAGCGTAATTTTGCCCCAAATTCCCATGACTTGGCGACTGTGGAAGAGGAACATCCTCTCCACGGTCATGTGTGGCCAGCGAAGATGATGTAGTAATTGCTGATGGAAAATTTGATGTAGATGGAAGTGATGTAGCTATTGCTGGGGTTGGTGAAGATGGCAATGAAGCTGATGGAGTTAAAGGGTGAGAAGCAGCTGCATCAAATATAATGCTGGTAGATGGATGCTCGCCAACCAAAGACGGTAGGGACTCGGTACTCAGCCCCGCAGTACCGGGCACAACAGTTGGGACCCGATAGCGGGAGTTGGCATTTCCTACTAAATCAAACTCCCCCCAAAGCACTGAGACATTGTCCTCAGTTGGAGTAGTTAACTCAGAAGATATAGCATTCTATTGAGTTGATGATGAATGTCATCTTTTGTGTAGAGAATCCCCATTATCACTATCTTCTCCATCATCACCGACCACCATGCTGTCTATAATCGGGCTGGGAGGAGGGTTAGTGATCACGACTTTCGGAGATGATTCGGGGGAAATAGTCTTCGCCCTATTATTCTTTTCCTCGGTTGCGGAAGAACGCCTTCTTTTTGGTTGCTTGTTCTACAGCCGGGGACCCCGTGGTGAAACATTTGCAACTGAAGCAAATCGGAGATACCTGTTCGAGTAAGTGCCTCCTAAAGCAGCCTCGCTGCATCAGCGGGATCAGCCAAGAATCCTCCTCGGGGACAACAATAGAGCCCGTGTGTAGACCTAGTTTCATGAACAAGTTAGAAGGGTTCAAACAAGTTCTTCACATACAAAATGGAGGCAAGGTAAGTTAAAGTTACCATGATTTTTGTCCTTCCACCCGTACTTAAGGGCCAATTCTTTCCACAAATGAGTTTCGAGCATCATAACGTCCAACATCTTCTGAACCTACCGGTCCAAGTTTTCCACCACCGGTGGGGTCCATCGAGTTGCTGAAACATATGAAGGATGAATAATCAATACGGACATAAAGGAATATTTAGTAAAAGGAAATTTTTTATTGAAGATCTTATGAGTTCGGTTCCAAGCGGACAGAAAGGATGAAGCGTCATCGGAATTATATTATCGATGGCAGTTTCAACGAACTGTTCCATCCAGCCACAGTCATTATCATCATCCATGCTGGTCAACAAAGCATGGACATGTTTGTAGAGGTTTATCATTCCCCTACGAAAAATCTTGGGAGAATAGAGATTCATCATACGAGCTAAGGTTAGCTCCTCTCCAGTCTCCTAGCACAAACGCCGAAGGCAGGCGATCGTCCTCCACACTGAAGGACTTACCTGTTCCAAGCATACTTGGTAGCTGAGGAAAATTTCTACAATCACAAAATCCAGCTCTCCACTTAAAGAAATTGCACCCAAAGTAAAGGGGTACATGTAAAAATATCTAAAGCCCTCCTTGGGAAGGTCACTCGTTCCGATAGATCATGAGTAATAATATCCAACTCATGGAAGCGACAATATTCGTTCACAGTAGGAATACTGGAAGGGCGAATTGAAGAAGGATACCTACTGACAACCTATGAACGAGGGTTAGCGATAGGGAATTTCTCTTCGAAGTCTTTTGTGGTGTTAAGACTTCTGGGGATGATGGATACCGTTAGAGGAGCAGAATCTTCATTTTAGTTCTTAATCTTTGAAGAACTAGAACGCTTTGAAGAGGAAGCTATTTGAGTAGAGGAAGGAAAAGGTTTTGGTTCGAAGAGAATTAGAGAAAAGATGGAAAACAAAGATGCAAGTTATAAGTTCGAGAAATTATGAAGTGCATAGGAGAAGGATGATGTGCATAAGTAAAATTTGGCAGCTAAATTCATGGCCATGATTACCTCGATAATCGGCAGAAGCTGTGCTGAATCGTGGGATGACGCGTGTTTGAGGCATTAAATGCGGAGAGACGTGCGTCTAATCAACCGTCAGATGACTGCAAAG